TGGTGGCGTAAAAGCGTTTGATAATAAAGTCGTAGGTGCGGGGATGAGTGAAAAGATAGAGCAAAAGAAGTCGCGGATAAAGCCCTTAATGAGAACCCCTCTCTTTCGCCTTGATCAGGAAGAAGCTTATCCGGACGAGTTTGCTGACTCCATGCAAACCACAAATCCGCGCGTATTTGAATTAGCCACTACGTCGTAATCCCGTTGTTGCGTGTAAGGGAGCGCGCGCGAGGAGTCCCGTCCATTAGCTCGCATTTGCTTCACATTGCGAAGCTTTAGCGCTTACGCATTTCTAGGCCATGAAAACGGCACATCTGTAATCCTTGTTGGAACTATCCTACCTATAGAATGGATTAGTCTACATGAACTCATCTTGGGTTGCTGCTTTGAAGTGGTGAATCAACTTTGATCAAAGTACTATAATAAAAGACATAAACGGATCGTGCTCCTAACCAGTAACTCTGCATGGGAAATCTGCAGTCCTAGCACTGCAAAGGGATTCGGGCAGTGCAGTTGGCGAATCTGCCGTCAACGAAATTAGATACCTGAGTTTGACCCCTCTGAAACAGTGATGAACCATGTAATCGCTTGTAGAGATCAACAGTGATGGTTATAGGTCGCACTTCAGTCAGATTACGACCGTCACATCGCATATTGTTTTCGAGAATCAACATTCTGAAACTTGGAAAGTTCCATATGCGAAACTGTGAGGGTGCTGAAAATACTTACCGCAGTGCTTTCTTGGTGACATCTCGAAAAATCGCCTGAACCAATGAAGGATCTTCGTTGCTCAAAGAGTTCACTACATCTGCTCCAACCTCCTGTAAGAGCGATTCGAAGCATGTTCCCCAACAAACTCTTGAAGATGAGCCGAAAATGACCAACGTTGACAGCTTCGTCACGAGAAATTTTGTCATGCGATGGATCCGTAAAAATGTAGTATAAACGTTCATCGCACAGGGCTCGCACCTCACGCTCAATCTCGGGCGGAAACGTGGAAGGGGTGAACTAAAAAAATACACGCACATTTGTACATCTAATACAGTTTAAAGCAGAGGAATCGCCCAGCGGTATACCTCAGCTTTCTCCTTCCCAGCCATAGTACGCAGATCATTCATAGCACACAAAAGCTTATTAACAGCAGATAGGCCTTCATCCATAGCTGTTTCTAGCTGCTCAGAAGCAACTTCCTGCACAGCAATAGTGTAAGTAGGAACGAATAGGTAGAGTTCATGTTTCATCAAAATCCACTTACATTCCCATCCATTTCAATCATTACGGTCCGCCGATCATCACAACCTGCTATCAGTAAGTCCATTGATGAACTCTTCATTTCTGACCTGCTCGGGTTGATGACAAGCTGTAATTAAGAGGGTTGATGGCTGGTGTGGGCATGAATGAGCGATAGAAATATAGATACCAGTACAATTATTCTAGCAACAAAAACTATAACTGTTACGACTGCCGAAGATACAAAATTCATCAGGTCATGGGACCGCGAAAGATTAGCGGAATTAGAGGGTGTACCATACCATAGGGTACGTTACGATTCACAGCACGTGTGAGCTTTGGATACGCTTCGACAGCTGATGCTTATGAAAAGGTTCAAATCATTTGCCGTGACCCTTTCTCCTCTCCAAATGCTCTGGGGCGAAATCTGAGCTACTCATAAGC